CCACATTCATTCTTTACAAAACGAAGGAGAAAAATTTTTCTTATGAAACGAAGTGATTTTTTGAACTTATGTTGAGTAATAAGGAAATCGCAGCAATAAAATAAAAATAAAAATGGGCAAACGAGCGTACGAACGAATGAGCTCGTCTCCGTACTTGCCGAGCCAAGAAGGAGAAAAAAAAAAGTAAAAATTAAAATCAGCAGGAGGAAACGTTCTGCGAAATGGTACGAGCGAATGGGTACTGTACGAGCAAGGAAGAGAGAACGACAAGAGATAAACAAACAAAATCTCTAGGCGATAAAATCTTTTGATTGTGAAGAGGGCAACGGTATGGCCAATTCAAATTAATCAGCAAACGCGAAAGCAATTAATTTGGCTCTCTCTCACGCTGCCCTGTTCTCGCTCTTCATCTCGATTCCACAAGCGTCGGCTTTTGGGTGAGCGTTTGTTGTCCAGGAAAACGATGTGATGCAATTTGAATTTGTTGCTCTATGATACGCGGAGACAGAGTCGAGTGATGGAAAGATGTGTGCGCTCACTTACGACTGATGTCTATTGAAATGAATTTAAATTTATTTCAAATTATCAAAATTCACGAATATCTTAATTTTTTTTGGGAATATCTCTCTATTCAAATGAGGCTCATTTCAAGTCTCTACACACTCGTTGACATAAATTCACCCCTACACCCATCTCCATACTCGCTCGGTCGCTCGCACACTACCTCTGGCTGGTATGTATGCGTATATATCAATTGTGCCAAATTATTCAGCGTTTTGTTTTTCTTTTGTGCGTTTTGTTTATGTTTCAGATTGTTGCTATGTTTCGTTGGATCATCCGTTTTATGTGCAAGCCATTGAAGATGAAGAAAAGATATCGAATTTCTTCGTATCGACACAAAATATAATTATCTATGACGAACGAAAACGAGACGTGTTTGCCGTTGCCTTTGAATTGGAATTTTTTTATATTCGTTCCTTCTTGGCTATATTGCTCGCAACAACAACCATTTTTTTTGTGTGTTCTGTTAAAAGTGATGATACAATTGAGCACACATCGAAAATATCCTGTTATTCTCGGAAGATTATGGAGCGGAGCGAATAATGTTTTTTTTTGTTTAACAACGACAGGCGCGCGAGAGAGAGAGAGAGAGAGAGAGAGAGAGAGAGAGAGAGAGAGAAAAATGAGCGATTTTTAAGAGTGTCGAACTACGAATCGCGTCTCCACTTCAACAAACTGATGCACGCTCATTATTTCAACATTATGTACGACATGTATGCTGAAATTTGAGCACCGGTTAGAACGCACCACGCTCAAAATGCTCGTTGTATCTTTTTCATTCTGTTGCTCGATACAGAAAAGTATCGTCGGAAAAAGGAAAACTAAGCAAACAAAAATAAATCAAACAAAATAAAATGGAAATTTCCATCATACACACACACACAATATACATATTTTCAACATGAATGGTTGAGACATTTAATGAAGATAGGTCTTCTTCTCAAATGCCTCTCTGCATCACTTTCCGCAGCAGCAACAACATTTCACAGGTAAATCATGTTTGTTCGCATCTATGATTGATTAAAGAAACCGTTCTCTTCGCTAATTATGCATAATTGTTTGTTTATAATGAACGAAGTTTTTTGCCGACAAGAGAGACAGAGAGACAGAGAGACAGAGAGACAGAAAGACAGAGAGACAGAGAGAAAGAGGAAGAGAGGAGCGATTTTGGAATTCTGTCAAAGCATAAAATCAAAATGTGCGAATTTCAATTTTCTCAAGCCATTATCACAACAACAACAACAACAGCAATAACATCAGAAGCAGAAAAACTACGTAAAAATGTGCAATTTGCCGTACAACTGATTCAACATCGAATGATAATTTTCCCGAAAATTGAATCTTTTGCAAAACATACACCATTTCATAACAAATTATTTGCCGTTGGTTTTCTTGTCGGCATCGGAAAGCGCAAGTCGAATTTCGTCTTCGTTTTTTCCCTTATCGTTTTATCTTTTGTCATTAATTTTTATTGCGATACAATGTGAGCACAGCAACTTATAATTTTGAGTGTGGCAATTTGCTAAGATGAGCGTGCCTACAACCAGACACATACACTCAGAGGTGGAGAGAGCGAGTGAAATGCTGAAAGAATGAGACGTGTATTCCATTCTCGTTTTTCGATACACATGCTATTTGTTGTAATTTCATTAGTGATCTCGGGTGGTGCTCCCTCAGCTCTCTATTCAAATCGGTCGTGCCCCCTTTGTGCATCCAAACGACCGAAAGAGTATTTAAAAAGGATCCTTGGCACTGTGCGAAGTGAGACCAAGAGAGAACAAAAAAATGTCTTAAACGCGCTCGTCGGCATGGTCTGGGGTGCGCTCATTTTCAAGTACTGTTTAAATCATGCAAGACAAAAGCTTGCGCTCGACTTCATGATAGCATCTAACGACGGCAACGACGAAGACGACGATGTCGACGGCGGCTCCGCTAAGAATGCTAAATTAAAAATACACTCAAAAGGTAAAACTGTTTCCATTTTACCCACATTCATCTATTCATTTCGGATCTTTTCACTGTTTGAAACAGTTTCGTTCTTCAATTTCATTCCTTTCTTCGTTCATTAAATAAAAGAAAGGCGAAGAGAAAAAAAAACGCATACACACACACACCCACTTTTTTTTATTCTTACAAAGAAAAGAAAAGAAATCAACGAAAAGAAAAACCGTAAATATCATTTCAACTAATTTTTTCTCTTGAATTTTCGTTGTTTGTGACTGCACGGGGAGGATCTTAGGAAATTCTGTTCAACAACTCCAAGTTTGATAATTTGATGTTTTCGCCTCTAGTTAGAACGATTCCAACTTGCCCGTCACTCGTACTCGAAAATCTTCCTATCACTTCATGTATACTTTCCCGTTGTGGAAATGGAGAAGAAAACCGAAAATTCTTTTAAATCTTCAGCACACACACACACACACACAAAGGAAGAAAAAAAAGGAGAACACAAACTTTCTGCACACAAACAACAAATAAAAAATAGCAGAAGAAGACGAAAAGGCGATGACGAGGAAGAGACGAAAAGAAGTGTCAAGTTTTTCAAGATTTTAAATTTTTTTTTTATTGCATATGGCGTGAGTATCAGTGAGCAAACTTGAATCAATTATTTTGAGCTTTTGTTGATTTCCCATTTTTGTCGCACCGAAATAGAGAGACCGTACCATTTCGTTTCGTTTTTTTTATTGTTTGCTGTTGTGTAGAAAACCCATAACCGTTAACTGTATATGGTCCTAATCACAATATTGCTCTAAAAAATAATGCCATCCGCCGTATTTTTTTCTGTCGTCCCTCTCTCTGCAAACGACAAATTTTTGATTGCCTGATGGACTGAATTCATTGTTCCAGTGTAATCACTTGATTTTTGTTTGTCCACCGTGCGCGCTCGCGATCATATTGTTGTTGCTTTGAAATCTGGTTCCGTGAAAATGGTAGGCATAAATCAAATCGGATTGCCCCACTGAGAAATATCTGGCATTCCGAAAATGTGATGTTATGTGACCTTTTCGCCTCACGACACCGAGAGAGAGAGAGAGAGAGAGATGAAAAAAAATTCCATTTTACCCTAAGCAATTTGTTGTTGTTTTTTCCTCCCGATAAATCGGAGTCCAATCAATCGGAAACGAATTATTTTGTACATTATTAAGAAAAAAAGAAGAAGCAATGATTAAAATATACAATGAAGAAACCTAGTTAAGGGAAAGAACGATAGAAGAAAAAATACATATATATATATATAATACATATTTATATATATTTATAAAAATAAAGCAAATAGACAAAGGTACGCCGATACCGGTAAAAGAAAATGGAAATGCTGTAAAATCAACCAAGAAGAAGAAGAGAAGAAAAAAAACGCATGGAATAAAACTCAAGCAAAGAAAAAAAATATCAAATCGTTACCGATAAAGTTTCATCGACGTCGCCACTCCAATGTCTGCATGCAAATTACATACAGCACGCTTTCAGCGCAAAAAGAAATCAAACACCAGCTTACTCAAATGGGAATGAGCGAACGAAAGTGTGAGAGAGAGAGAGAGAGAGAGAGAGGAGAGAGAGAGAGAGATGGGGAGAGGAAAATCTTACATTATAAATGAAGCTTTCTATTGACTTTGACTTGGTGTGGGTGTGTGTATATGTGTGTGTGTGTTCGGTGATGTGCAGCAGTACACACACAATACTGTGCCTCAGTTCGTACTATAACATTGTGCAGGTTTCGTTGTTTAAATGGCACAACGTGTCTGTACAAATGCTTACCTACAGATTGGATTTCTATATATTTATGGAAAAGTAAGTGAGCCGTAAATAATAAAACGAGAAAATTCAGTTCATATATGGCATAGAGCAGCAGCAGCAGCAGCAGCAGAGGGTAGAACGAATGGAGAGGAAAGGAAACGAACGAACAAACGAGCGAAAGCAAAAACTGTATGGACACAACTGAAGCAGAGGGAGAAAAAAAAGCGCCCATTCATTTCGCACCGGATTGACCAGGGCGAGTTGAGGCAAAGCAATTGGCAAAAAATGGCAATTTGATAGCTACTAAAACGATAATGTCGGCAACATTAAGCCTGTCGAGTAAAAACTACAAAATAAAAGTATATATATCCATCGAAAAGAAATAGAAACACCAGCAACACCAAGACTAAGAAGAAGAAGAAGAAGAAGAGAAAAAAGTGAAACAAATGTGCGCGCGCGCTTGGCTCAAATCAAAGTCTACCCGTCATCATTGCTTATTTTGTGTGAGATTGAATGCAGAAACGGTGGTGAGTGAGAATCATTCAAGCTCAATGCCGTGTGTGCGATGCGCGCGAAAATAAAGTGTAATCGAGAATGATTCGAGTAGGAAGAAGTAAGAAAGGATAAAGAAAAAAAGCAGCAGTAGCAGTAGCAGTAGCAGTAGCTAGAGTAAAAGTCGGAAGACGGAAAATTTCCATTATTACCTGATTCATATAATAACGCACGAATTCCATCGATTGCTCCAGTGCATAGGTATCGCTGCTGCATGAGTCAATGATTAATGAGCCCAGCGTTACGTTTGGCAGTAGATCGTCGTCGTTCTTGTTAATTTTGTCTAATGCATACATCATGGCCTCCAGTCGCTGTATACCTTTCTCTTCTTTTACCATTCCGCACGGATATTCCGGATTATTAATGTTGTGCTCGTGCATTGGAAAAATACCGCCAAGTATTATGTCACCGCCCGTACGAATCAATCGGCCATCGCTTGACCATTTGTTCGATCGAATGGGCAAACCATTTCGCGAGTGGCTGAGTATAGTTCGGCCACCGCCACGATTCGTACTGCTCGTATATAGTCCGCCCCTGTTCAAAACAGGAGAGAAGAAAAAAAAACGTAAACAGAAAAATGAGACGAAGAAAACCGAAATGAGAAAAAGATACATAAACATGAAATGAAATTCCAAAAAAGTAGGCAACAATTTATTTCAAGTGTGGAAATATAATGAAAAAAAATATTGAATTTCCATTGGAAAGGGGGAGAATATCGAAGTGCCATCTGTTGCAATAGGTAACATATATACATATATATAGGCAAATACTCAAACGTTAAATGTCGACTGTGAACTTTTGCTAGCAAATAACAGCCTAAAGCCAAACCAATGAGTGCTGTTGAATGATCCATAAATAATTGGGCTCTCATTCGCCCCACTCTAAAAATAGATATCAGCACACGCTGAGTGTGTGTGAGTGTGAGTGTGAGTGCGAGAGGGAGAGAGATTCTTATCACAAAATGGTCGCAAATGAACCGACAATTAGTAAAATTGCCGAAGAGAGACATTTGGCGTTAAGCATTTGCCTTATATATTTATATGTTCCACCCTTTCCCACCGTCATCTGCCTCCCAACCTCCCCGTCCAAAAATCCATACAACCAGCACTCGTTCGTGAGGCAAATGAACGAGTTGCTTTGACTGGCATCATTCGAATTCTCATCAAATTAAGTTATCCAGCAAATAAATCATAATGACTACAAGATACATACATGTGCGGCATTGTGTTGACAGGTGCTGTGTGCCCAAAGTATGATACGAGCAGCTGAGAGTCATTTCGAAAGTTATTGTTGTTCGTTGAAGTCGTTGTTGTTGTCGTCAGCGTCGTTGTTGCTGTGATGGCAGAGGAGGACGGCAACGCATATTTCACCATATCAATTTTGTCGAATATGAACAGCATTACGATTGTGTACAATGGCCAAGCACGACGGCATTGGCAGCACATACGTGCAAGAGTGTGGATTATGATCATAAGCATCATTTTTGTTGTGTATAGACTTGTACTTTATTATGTGCTTTCCGCTTTTTGCTCCGTGTTACTCCTCTCTGTCTCTCACTCTCCGTTCGCCTATAGGTTCAATGCTTTTTACACACATACACACACACACCAAACCAATCCAAAGCAAAACGCTTTTCGAACTCAATTTCTGTCTTTTGCACAAACTCACTCTCTACCTGTGTGTCACCACAGCTTTTGATGCAGCTCTCTTTTTCACTCTTTCTTCGAATAATTCGCACCCTTTCGCTCAAATTCAACGTGTTCTATCTTTGGCACTCTCTTTCGCTCCTCTGATTCTTGCAGTTCGTTCCTCTTTTACACGTTTCCCACTTATACTTCTCTTTTGTTCCACGAAGTCGTTCGATTTCCGCTTATCGTTCCGGTGGTTTGTGTTTCGTTCTTTATTTCCGTTCTATTTTATTTTTATGTTTATTTTTATTTATTTATATATATATATTATTTGTTATTTCGCCCTTAGTGTCGATGTTGCAATTTATATCGTATTTTCACACCATTCGAATCGTCAACATATTTACTGTGCCGTTTGTTCGGATAACATTTTGCTCCATGCTTGTTTTCATTTATTCACAGGCATTAGGACCAAAAATGTGTGTGCGTTTTGTACCAATATACGCGTTGTTTTTATTCTTATTTTTATTCTTATTCTTTATTTTCCTTTCTGGCCCTTGCTTTGTTCTGAATTTATTTCATACATTCGACTTCGTTCTGGGCAATGAAAAAAAAAAATAGAAAACGAAAGAAATAAATAAATATTCTTTCACCTCTCTCTCTCTATCTTCTCACACTTTCACTCTCAATCAAGCTCTTTTTTCACTGGCTGCTGCAATTGGTGCTTCGTGTAGATGGCCTTTGCTCTTTTCGTTCTCTACGTTGCCACTTTCTTTCATCCAGGATCAGTTTGCTTTACTACTTTATGGTACACGGAATATGTATGTTTTTTCTCTGCTGTTGCTGTGTTTTTTCTTCTTTGTTTGGTTATTTGTGTTATTGTCGTTGTTATTGTTGCTCTTTTTTACTTTGCTTTTTTTTATTTGTTATTTTTTGATTCGCTGTTGTTTGCTGTGAATAAATACGTGTGCGGGTGAATTTGTACTTGGTTCTCTCTCTCTCTCTCTCTCGTATATATATTGTTCAGCTGTTGTTTGACAGAGAGCCAGAGTCCTTGCTCGTGTGAATGTTTGGTTTGAGGAGGGTTGTGTGTTTGCCAGATAGATAGAGGTGTATGTGTCGATCTGATGCTGGTATTTGATGCTGGTTGTCGTCTTTTTCTCAATTGTAAAAATTCTTCTTTGCACCAATGCTCCTCTTTTCCTTCTTCTTCTTCTATGCTCCTTTGCTGTTGTTACTTGTAACAACGACGATTCGCATTATTCCAAGGGTAATGCTTTTTCCTCTCTCACTCTCTTATTCACTTTACTTTATTTAATTGTCGTGTACCTCATGCACCTTTTTACTCTTTTACTTGCTCACTTTCTATCGGCAAACAGCATATCCATTTCATCGTTAAACACAAGTGTATTTATTTATTTTATATTCGTTTTTTCCGTTGACTTTAGCTATTTTGCACCGTATGCTGTTTTAACGCCGCCTTGTTGGCTTCGTTTTTGTTGTGTTTTGTTCGTTTCGTTGAAATAGGGCTCGGTGACACTAAGTGCTTTTTCAGTGTCGGGGAAAGTAGCTATTGTTCTGTTATTTGCGCTCTTTCGTCATTGTTTTCGGGTGATCTTACGCGAAGTTTTTCATCGTGGTACATGATTGCCGATTACATTTAGCTGCTTATTGTTTTTTGCTTCGGTTTTCTTACACTTGCATTATTCGTTCGTTTTTCTTTTTCATTTCCAAATGTCTGACATTTTCGTTTTTTTTTTAAATGTTTTTGGATAAGAATGGTACACAATATGAATTTTATCTGATGGTTTTTTTTCCTTTTCTCTACAATTTCCAATCGCGAACAAAACAAAAAAACAAACTTTTTTTTCTGTCGTCGAAACAGAAAGTTTGTCGTCGTCGCCGTTGTCGTCGTCGTTGTCTTCAATTTTTCTTGTTGAAATGCTTTCTTGTGAATGGTAAAGTCTTTTGGGTCATACTTGCATTAGCACCTGAATGTTTTTTTTTCTGTAGTTGTATTCCTTTCAATTTTCGTTTTTCTGAAAAGGTCGAATCCGGTTAATGAATTACAATGTTATTAGTGTTCGTTTTTATTTTGTTCCGTGCGCGTATTCACTGCTGTTTTTTGCTTCTATTTTTAGTGTCAACCATTTCTTCTTTTCAGTTCACACTTACACACCACTCTTTCTTTCTCTCGGTAGCCATACGCGTGATTGATACGTTTCACTTTTTCAAACCATTCTTCGTAGAACGTTGAATGACAAAAATAAATTTCGTTTTGTACATTGAATTGTGGAGTTTGTGCGATTTTTGTTGTTGTTGATGTTGTTTTCTTCTTGTTGTTTTTTTTTTACTTTTTTTCTCTATTCGATGGTAATGGTTATTGAGTTCAAGCTCTGTACTCGCCCTTCGGCTAGCTTTTTTCTTTCGACGTCGTCGTCGTCGTGGTTGGCGTTTCTTCTCTTCGTTTCTTCGTTCACTGTAATTTACTCGCTTTTTCTTTGGATTTTTATCGAAGCAAAAGTAATTTATTACTTAGCATCACACAGGATGTGTGGATTATATCAGATCCTTTGTTTAATTGTGCGTACATCGTTCGGATATTTCGATGAATTTTTTGATGTTCAGTAAGAAACGAACACGAAGAGAGCGTGTAACATGATATCCCATTATCAAGCTATACGGTCGGTCGGTCGGTCATTCGATCGAAATTCGCATCTTAATTCTCTGCATTCGTTCAATTTATTTCAGGTACGGGTTGTGTTGTCTATTTCTTTCTTTTTTGATGTATTTCGTTTTATACACGAGCGACACAAGCAAGACACGGAGACGAGAAAAAAAAGAACCTGTAAATATGAACAAAAAAAACGAAAATCAAATAAAAGTGAAGAAGCCTTTTAATATTATTTGAATTGTGTGTGTGTGTGTGTGTGTTGACTATTTTTCGGTGATGGCTTTTTGATGCTTGAGATGTGAGATAAGGCGAGAGAGAGAGAGATTGCGAATATGTATCGTGTGCCTCAAACGACATAGATATCTCATGTACAAAGTATGCTCTTTGTTTGATGATTATTTATTCAGTTGCGTGTAATACGCTCTCTCTCAAACTCTGATGAAGTGGAACCCATATACACAACGATCATTAAAGAAACATCTACACAAATTATCATTAATGTGCATTTGTGCTTTGTAGCATGAAAATGGTTCGTGCCCCTCGAAATGGGAGTTGAGAGCACAGTTACGAAACTATTTGTCAATTCGCATTATGGTTATGGAAAAGTGTGTGTCTTCAGGAAAACATAGTCCACCAAATGGGTTTTATTTTTGGAATGTTTTTGATGTGTGTTTTTTTTTCTCTTCAGATGGATGAAATGCAATCTATAGGGATGGATAGAAAAAAAATCGACGGAAATGATGGTAACCCTCCTTATGAATTGGTCACTTTGTATAATGTGCAACGATTTTTCATCGGAATGTTTTCGATGCATGAGGGAGAAGTGAGGCGTCGAGAGTTCATTTTCATAGGAGTTTGGTCAAAAAGTAAAATCGATAGAGATCGAGAGATCGACAGTCCGCGGAGACATTTTGCACTATTTGTCATTTTCCCATAATATGAAATGGTCTCTCGAGCTTTTTTCTTCCCACTTTTGTTCTTATGCTCTCTTTCTGTCTACGTATCTCTATCGTTTTTTTTCGGTGTTTTTCTCGATATCTGTCTCCATTTGTCAAACAATTGACAAGCGTGCCACTTCTTTCTCTCATATACTTTTTTCCTCCCTGTGTCCAGCATCAGTCGTCGATTCGTTAGTGGACGGTAGCAAAAATGTATAGCAAATCAACCGTCGAACGAACGAGATATTGACAGTGAAAGAGTTAGAGAGAGTCGAAGCCTTTGCTGTATTGGCATAATCTCGTCTATCAAATATTACCGATTTCCATAAAAATGGCAACACCAACGCCTGGCGGCACCAATTGCCGTGCCAGTGTATGTGTGTGTGTGTGGAACTCACACGAAAAAAAAACAGAGCGAATATAATAGTAAAACAAGAAAGAAGTCAAACGGGGAGAAAATATGCGAGCAAAACGATTTGATGATTGAATATAAAATGAGTGTGTGTGTGTGGAAATATCGGGATAGCAAAAAGAATCGAACACCAACCGATGAGGAAAAAATAAAAGCAAATGGTGTTGGTTATTTCGTGTTTATTGTCCTCACTTTTGCCTATTGCAACATTGTTCGTAAACAGCATTCTCTTTCTTTTCGGTTCATTCCATTTATTTGGACCATTTTTTCACTCTCTTTTGCTATCTCCCCCTCTCTCTCTCTCTCTCTCTCTCTCTCTCTCGTTTCTTGTCTCTCTTTCGTTCAGTTGTACCCATTCTCTCTCTCCATCTCGTTCGTCCGTTTTGCTTGCTCGCATACGCCAACCATTTATCACATATCAACTGCTTATTGACGTTAACTATATAATAGATTCTGCAAAGAGTGACGGTATCTCAACACTCGTTTCTTTGTGACGTCTGTGCCAATATGTATCGATGTGCATAATGTTTGCTGTAGGTCAAAGGCGATGTGATGTAGCATTATTTCATTGCATTTCGCATCGAACACTCTTTTTTCATTGGCATCGTCATCGTCGTCTTCGTCTTCGTTGTTGTCGATAACGTTGTCGTTCGTCTTTCTCTCTTCGTGTTTTTTTTTTGGCGCATACCAAATGGAATTTCCGCGTGAATGTGAGTAAGCAAATTTATACCCCAGCATTTTCCAATGTATCTTCATGTGTGTGTCATGGGTAAACATTTTTGGGCTGGCAAACCTCGAAGATGTTCAAATATGTATAAATAGATATATTTCAACGGAAAATTGAATCAAAAAGAGATGGCGCGAACACGAGTGAAAAGACGGGGCGGGGCTGTCGCATGCGAAATGATAGCTTAAGAAATGGGTTACAATTTTGCGCTCCAATTTAATTTGTTTTTGATAGCCTAATTTAAAGTTGATAACGGATATGATTATTCTCACCGCACACAAGCCGGTTAATGGTGTTGTTGCCAAGAATCACATGATGTGACCATAAATATGTGGCAGTAGTAACAACAGACATTATTTCCAGTTATGTGCGCTTTTGCAAGAGCATTCAATCGACAATATTGAGAGAACAACTCATTATATTTTCGTTTGTGATTTTCATTCACAGCAACCTCTCGCCCCATGCCTCGTACCATTTCTCTCCGCTTCCAACATACACACAGCGACAGTGTTTCTTTTCGCGTCGATTTCTTTCGCTACCGTTTGTCGTTTACGCTTCCTTATTTTCCTGCCGGTTTCCTTTTCGCAAATAATGCAAAAATAATGCACATCTCATTCATACCAACCAAAAATGGAAACGAGCATAAAATGATTTCGCCAATTTTGTTTTTCTCGTTCTGTTCGCAAATTTTGTCTTATTTTTTCACTCGTGGAGGAAAAATTCTACATATTTTACTGATTTCATTCGCAGTGAAGTGGAACAGATACATGTTTTCGTTTGACAGACAAATATAGAAGGAATAGAAATGCAAAAAAGTGCCTCGAGTGTGTGTTAGAGTGAGCGGGAGAGAGAGAGAGAGAGAGAGAATATGGTTGAATTTTGTGGCAAACGATTTTTGAGCGAATACATTCAAGCATTTTCATTCTGATGCGGAACAAATCAGCTGAATTACACATTTTCTTCAAACTAATTTTCGGTATGTCTATGTGTGTGTGTGTGTGTATTTTGTGGCAAGGCAAAGAGTGTAAGATCGTGTGAGAAAAATAAAATAACGAGCGCCATGCACTACGCGACACACCAACAAATTTCCATTTCTCAACAAGATAGATGTTACGTTGAGTCTGCTTAACCTATGTACAATGCATAATCCGTATGGCAAGGCAATGCTTCTTTTCGACTTAGCACAAACCTAGAACACATACACATAGACACGAAACGCAACCAAACATACGAATGGCAATTCGCGCAAAACACAAATATCACATTTCGGCTGGTTTCAATGGATCCCAATGAATATTAAAATAGAAAAGAGCGACAGCAAAAATGAGAGCAAGAGGCAGACAGATCGAGAGAATGGCGAGCGACAACGGGAATGAGACTGAATACGAAGTCTGTGGCTCTTTCTTTCTTTCTCACTTGTTCGAGTATGTGCTGGTTATTTTGTTGTTTTCGATTAAATGAACATTTAATCTAATAGATTCAACATACATTGCACAAAAACCAAGTGGGCACATCGAATGGGATGTACGAAACGAACGAACAAACGAGCACTCATATCTAAAAGACACATAGATTCAAACCAAAACGCAAACACAAGAACAAACAAAAGCAACGACCATCACCATGTCGATTTTGTGTGCGAATTTATTCCGGTGCAGTGATGATGATGATGATGAGCAGGCGAGAATGGGGTGGTGAGGGCCAGTGTGTGTGTGTGTGCGAGACAGTGAAAGAGATAAGCATTCATTTGTCACAGGGAAAAGCTCACGCAAAGAAGAAAACTGACATACTGAATAGTTTTGGCATCGCATTCCATTGGAATAGTTCCACTCATATTCATTTAGTCGCACATTCACACAGACACCCGACATGGTCTGCGTTTATTAAAGCGCAAATATGATGCAAAGGCAATCATATTCAGTTTTATTGCAATAGGCCAATAAATTATATTTCGGGCTAAGATGGTTCACATATGCGTATATAGCTTACAATTGTTGGATAATAATTTCAGTTAAATTGCTTAAGCGATGGATCGGGCCAAAAATTCTTTCTCTCTCACTCTCACTCTCGCTATCGCTCTCCCAGTCTATTCATAGTTTATACTCGAAAACAGTCTACGTGAACACACACACACACACAGAGACACATGTGTGACATAAACGATTTTGTGGGAGTATGGCCGAAAGTGTGTAGTTTCGACACTATTTCATGTGAAAACACATCGAGGGCGAACGACCATATTTCGTATGGCAACCGTGTAGGGTGGAGTGTGTGTATATATACGAGAGAGCAAGAGTGTGATTGAGTGAGTGAGTGAGCGAGCGGGAGCAAATATATATAATGAAACGGCAGCTAAAAGTGTTTCCAGTTGTTCGGAGCTGAATAAGTTGTGCGATGATGCATTGCACAGCGATTCACAAGTGAGATTTCAAAAATGAATTATTTCAATGAACTATTTTCGAATGATTCACATGAATAAATCCATTTTTCAGTTTGTTTGAATGGATGGAGAAGGAGGGGGCAACACGGCCACTGGTGATGATGCACAAATGCTCACCGAAAAGTTTTGCATCAATTCGGGTGACGCATTTAAGCGCACACACACACACACACACACACACACACACACACACACACACACAC